TTAAACGTCCCTGCATCGTCTGTTTGGGATACGAAATCTACATGGATACAAGTAATATACACTCTAGTTTTTTGTGTTTCATTTTAAGGTGGAGAAATCTTGTCAAACTGGAAGGAGGGGAGGGGTGGGGGAGAAATGCTGAAATATTGTTCGAATGTTTAGAGAAAAGTTGGTATATTTTTCTACTGTCACCTAAGATATTTAATCTTCTATTGAATGAGAGTGACAAGTGTTTCCTTTATGTTTAAATGTCCGGGTAGGTTGTATTTAAGCACAAACTGAATTTGTACTTGGTATAATGAAGACATATCTTAAATTTAAATAAAGCGCCTTCATTTCATATGTGTATTGGAGTTTTTATGATATAAAGAAATCACAAATTATTTTTGTAATGGATTGAAATATTCTTCTTCGGCGTCAAATAATTTGCATTTAATCTAAAGGAAAGTATTATTTTGTTTGTGTACGAGTTTTATATGAAGTCTATTATGGGGGTTATCATAACCATTACAGAAGCATCCAATCGGTTAATAGTATAAATCCCAATTTAAGTTTAATATCCCTGTATATTTAAAGGCTGAGGTTTCTTTGTAATATTTGCAATCAAAATCAGCGAAGCCGGAAATAGGATGCAATTTTCGTAGTGTAGACATCAATTAAAGAAAATTTTTAAAAGATTTCATTTCAATAAGTTCTTGATGACTGGCTTTCCTTATGTTGCCTTAAAGAGATTTTGTATACGAGACATGGGATATCTATTCTAAAATTCCAAGCTTTCATTTTTGGGATAAAAAGTCAAAGTCTCTCATCGTTATAGTGAGAGGGATAAATAAAGCTATGCCTGTTGCCCAATCCGATTCACTTTTTGTGATAAAAAAAATTTGTATACATTGTAAATTTTTTTTTTTTTTGCCAATGATTTTTTCTTATGGTTTTCAAGTAACGCTTCCATCCTCAGTAGAAAAAAAATCTATAATGTTATAATAATCTATAAATAACGTGAAAACAAGGATTAAAAATATGATGGCAACAATAAACACAGCATAAATCTCTGAACAGGACATTAAAAAGGGCCCCTGAAAATTCCAAAAGTGGGATCAGATGCCGAGAAGTAAACATCCCTGTCCTCCAGTTCGTCACAGTCGTCGGTAGCTCTATGTATTGACCAGGAGACGGAATATCCTGTAGTCGATTGTAATTTATAATTTTTTTCATAATTTAATCCATAGTTTTCAAATTAAATTTCAAAAGCTTTTTAAAATATCACTTACGAAAATATTTTTGTTTTTTTTTTTTTAAATTTAAATTCCTTTAAATCTTGAAATGTTGAGAAGTCTATCTGTGATTGAAAGTAATAATAAAGAGTCTTTGAAAAAATCTGTTTTTATTATTTGTCAATTTGGCGAGCGTTCAGGTGACATTATTCAAGTTCGTCTTCAATGGGCTTTCTCTTTTCTTTATTCTTGGTAAATCCAAATTATTCAAATGCATGCTTCAAATCTATGGTTTTCAATACCTTTCTTTGCGATTTCAATACATATGATCTTCGAGATGCATATATGTTTGGCAATGGGCCCCCTAATCAATAAAAAGCAATTGCCAAAAACATCGATCTAAATACAATATTAAACGGGTCTACAGTGACTGAGAAAGTAGACGTGGTTTTTGAAAGATTTCTGGTTGTCTCCTTTGGTTTGGACCTACAAAAGCATTGGAAAGGAACTGAGCGCCTCGTTCTGTTTATTGAGCTGTCAGAAGGTGTTTGCTTGTCGTACTAATATGACATTAGGGAATGGTGTATCTCTACTTTGAGGTAGTTGCTATTGGCACTGTTTTTAAAGGGATTTAAATCTAAATTTGTCTTCGTGCACGGAAGAAGTTTTGCTAAAGGGAAGGTTTCTTGCTGTGTCTGTGACTGAAATCGACCCATCATGGCTTGGGTTTGGCCGGAGGAAGTGGGGTCCAAAAGTCGCCCTAAATCCGCCACACAGGCGACATGGCCCACTCCAGAGGAGAAGGTCAGGTCACCCTTAAAGTCTGAAAATGATATTCAAAAGGTTGGTTCTTTAATTTTGTTAAAATATATTTAGCCACGCGAGTTCCAATATTTTTTTAGTAAAATTGAAACGAAAATCAATTTTTTACTTGTGTAAAGATGTGATATAGTTAAAAAGTGTATCTTACAGTTGTATATACCGGACGAGAAAGCACGGCTGGTGAGTTGTTTTGCATGTTACTGACCTTGTAGCAGTGTTCAGTGCATGGGAATGTAGAAGTACAACATTAGTTATGAATATATTTGGAAAATACTTTTGCCTCTGTGGAAGTTCTAGTAATATTTTTTTCTGGTTTTGGGTCTTGTATGTAAACTTGTTCCTTTGCAGCTATTGAAGCATGTGTATTCCTTGGTGTGCAATGTGAAATCTGAGCTCATCCTTTTGTACTCCACTCGTCAATTGTTTTATTGCAGGGCAATGTTTAGTCTTTATTTGCTCCATTGTTGACAAAATATTTCTATTCTTTTCTATTACGACTTTTTTCCCAAGAGGAAATCTGTATTTTGACATTAACTCAGTAAGGAAATTAATTTGAACAATAAAGCTTGTTTGCACTCAATAGAAAATAAGACCAAAGTTTTAAAAAATTCAACAATTTTGTTCGTTACCATGCTATTGAAATCCTTTTGTTTACAATGAATTTTTAAACCTTCACCTTTCGACATACCTCTTCTTTCAAGAGCACGTTCAGCCTGTTTGCCTTGCTCTTGAGAGTCTAAATATTGTTCTTAAAATTAATACGATTTAACACTTTTTCCACAACATAGACGTACACTATATAATTGAGTTTTAACCATTATATCAATTGTGTTTGTTCTATCACTGCTAAAATTTGAAAATAAACTTAAAATCTAGTGTATCTAGTAATATCTGACATTATGGAGAGGTGACTTGTAAGTGTAGTTTTCTTCTCGGTTGCTAGGATGGAAACGTAGGTATCGATCAGACAAATAACTGATTTGAACCTTTTCGTTTCTGGTGCTAAAATTGAACGTCGATAATTTGAGAACATTTGCTGCATTCCTATTATAGGAAGAGAAACATGAATCCATTCCTATAACTTTGCTCGTTACCATGACGGCAATATAGGGTGAACAAAAGAGGTAAAACTAAAAAGAACCAAAAGCCTTGAACAGCGAAGACATCTGAAATTTAAATTCTATAAAAAATAAAGCCCTATCGCTTTAATCATGGATCTTTTTCCTTTGCCATTAATAATGTAAGCAAAATGTATTCACCACGAGTTCCATATCAATTGATCTGAATACGTTGCCCTTCCTGTATGTACAATAAATGATAACTTCAGTTTACTAGCAATTCTATGGAGGGATGTCAAGACTTGAATCGTCATAATGATGTTATTTTTAAAACAGATTATATAATCCAAAGAATTTGAATAAAATGCATCGTCATACAGTATCACAGAAGTCAATGATGTCCCTTTTGATCTGATTTCTGCCAATAGATGGCACTAATTCGAATTTACGTCATAATGTGCCACATTACTCTTGGATGTGTACCACAAGAATGGTCAAAATCATTTATTTTCTTTAATATCTTTAGACGTGTTCTTTTTAGATGGGTTTTTGGGTAATGGTCGCATTCAAGCTTTTGCCAAATTAAAATGTTTGGTAGAGGAAATCCAGTGTCAGTGACAACAAAAGTTGTCATTTCGACTGCAACGATACTGGTAATTTTGACGTCTTTGTGCAAGTTGGAACATTTCATTTAAATATGTCACATTTAATACTACAAATCGCGGATAATTTTGATATATGATACATACTCTTTGACATATACATGAAGCAAATGTCCATAAATAGGATTCAATTAGATTGCACTAATAGAGGGTTTTCAATTTAAAAACTATTTTTCTACAAATTTACGACAAGTGTTTGTTATCTCGAATTTGATCTATTTAAGTGTTCGAAACAACGTTGTTATCGATTTGAACTGTTAGGAAATTTAAACCATTTTTACATTGTAAAAAACACAAATATCAATGTTTCGGTGCTCGTAGATCAATGGTGTTCAATAATGAGAGGGCCGAACGGTTGAATTCGAAAACCTTTCACCAAATGCAATATTCGCAAAAGCATTCATGAAAAGTAATATAATGTACAGCATATTGAAGTCAGGCTTAAAATTTGCCATTACTTGATTTTGTTATTCTCACTACTAGACGGGGTCGCCATGGAGAGATAACTATTAAATTAACTAACATCAGGACAGATGTTTGATTTATTATAAGTTAATATAATCATTCTTAAAAGGGTACAAACCTCGCCAAACAGGGTGTATAATTGTAATGTAATAGATCACTGATCGCTCAGTCTTTGACATTAAACATAGTTTTGACAAGTTAAGTATCTTTGTCATTTCAAACTCGGTAAAACAGAATGTTTAATGATAATCTAGGTGTGGTAAAGGAGGTCCTCTTATCAAGTATAACTATTACCTATTATGTGTCCATTTAACCCCAGTCAACTTTAGTGTCATGATTAAAGGTCGAGAAAAAATACTTTTATTGAACAGCACTTGATATGAAAATGATTCATCTTATCGACTACTTGTTGGTTTTATATGTACAATTATCATATTCTTTCAATTGTGCATACATGAGATTAAAAAAATACCTTGATTATAGCTTTCATATATATTAATCCGATATGAATCTACCTATTGCTAGCATTAGATTTTAAATGGTCACTTACTTTATTTCAGAGATCATGATTGTGTGTATTAGTCTCTAAAAGTGCTAAAGTGACTTTTTAGGGCATTTCATTTTTTCCGTACTCCATGTCATATCCTTTAAAAATTGTGAATTTCATATCCAGCGTATAGAATAGATTTATGTATGATGATATTCATTACCCGCGGACTGTTTCTATCTAGATACTGTATATCTAATTCTGAATAATTATCTCTTCTACTTTTTCCCAGAGTGAACGTCAGGAATATGACTTCATGCACTCCAACAACATCACGACGCTTACGGCGCCATTTGGTACCAATGATACTCCAAATATATCCTACAAAATTATTGGCAGTAAACCTGTTCATGTTATAGAAAGCTTGAAGCCACAAAGGTGTGTATTATCATTGATCATTAATGAAAATTATCCTTTCTACTGTATTATTTAATATTTAAAGATATGCAGTACAGTGCATTGAAATATTTTATAAGGTGGAATTATCAAATCACCTTGCATGAAGTTTAGAGACCAAAAGTTAAATGGAACACAGCCATGAATGAAATCATTTTAAAACATAGTGTTAGCTTTTGATTTCCCTTGACCACTGTTTATGCTTAAGTAGGTATTAGCCCTATTTTAAAGTCAGCATTGCAGAAAAGATTAAAAAAATCTTAAGACCTTAATTACACCCATTCCACACTTTCACGAATCGTTCAACTTCTTGGCAACTGGAACCTTGTTGACAGTCGCCATATTCGTTTCTGGATAGAAATTTCCTTTAACTAATATATATTTCTGTCATAAATATTCAAGGCCAGAAGATTCAACAATTTACACAGGGCCAAGGATTCATAATTTAGACGGAGTTACAATCAAACCAAACCAGGTTAATCCAAGGATTTTAAACGAGAAAGCCAAGGGATATTATAGTGCACAACAGGTAAAGGAAAATATTTCAAAACATTTTGGAAGACCCTTTTTCATTGCTTAGGACAAAAGGCTTTGTATGAATGCATTTTGTCCTATATACTAGCATGAAACCGGTGTTAGTGAAGAAAGTCATGAAAATATGTTATGTTTTTAATTGAATGTTCATTGTTTCATGAAGAATTAACACATTTACATGCTTCTCTGACATTATTAACTTTTTTGTTGTTTTAAATGTTATACAATCGTTCAGAAAGGGCCCTGCCTGTTATTTCTTGCTTTGTAAATCATTTCTTGTTCACCTCGCTATTTCTTCCCAGCATGACGGTTACACCGAGGAGGTAGCGTATACTCATATATCCACATGCATCATTATATTATTTGCACTAATTACTGCTTGGGCGTGATAATTTAGATACTGATTCCTAGGGAGTCATGTCAATTGGTTGATAAAAAATTGAAGCGAAAGCATGGTTTCACGATATTTTTCCTGTTATGGGTGGTCAATTGCATATGTCACCTAGCTTGTAAATATTTGATAATACGATCAATAGTATTAAAGTTACCGATATGTTTAGTCATTAATCAACAAATAGATTCTTCCAAGGCAACTGGTTTTCTGACAGGAATGTTTATAAAAGGATTCCAATCGTTAACAATACTTTTTCAAATTCTCAATAGACAAGATCTTTATCAGTGGTAGAAAAGGAAGGCATTTAAAACTTACCCTCAAAAAATCAATTCTAACCTTGGTATCTACTGGCTACTAACATTTCCTACTGTCAGATTTTCTATACATCCCTTCATATTTTTTCTTCTGGTCTTTCAATTCTCAAAAAATTACTTATTTCATTCATAAAAGCATAGCACAAATAAAGTCAAGCATATACATATCAAGATACATATGCACTAAGTATGCAGCTATGAAATCAAAAAAAGATAAAGAAAATGTCCCAAAATAAAAAGCTAACATTGCAATTTGAAATTGACTGCTTTTTGCCTAATAATATAATAATAACTGGGAGCAAGATGGTGTGTTGACGGTTATATGTGTTTTAGAATTACACTGGGCTTCCTAAGTTAGTGACTTTGGTGAGTACATTGTAGTAGACTTTCACTGCTTTCTTTGCGTAGTTTTCACCAAGTTTGTCAATCATTCAAGTAATCTTTTCAAAATTCTTTTTACATAATTATTTCTATTAATTTTCACAGTTTCCCTTATTTCACTAAATTATTTTAATCAGATCCAGACATATTTGTAACATTGGTTTGCATTTTTGATGATTTGATATACTTCAATGTTTTGCATCTACATCTGCTATGACCCAATTGATTTTGCAGTTGAATTTCTCTTTTCTGTTATTTAATGATATTTTAATGACAGTACATCAACGCTTTATGTCTATAAAATGAGCAATTTAGTAATACCTACGTAACGTGATTTTCTATTTTCTTATTTACTGCAGCAGTTTTCATAATTTATTTCAGTTTTTGCATTGAAAAGTTTAAGCAATAAGCTGTACATCAAACAATTTTAGAGTTTAAGAATAAAATTTCAAAATAAAATGTTTCACGTTAGCAATTCTGTATATTTTTTATTCCATGTTTTCCTTGCAGGACCAATTCTCGTCCCACGTGCATGGTAAACCTACATATTCAAATCCAGTCACATACAGAGGTCAAAGGCCAGATTCTAAAACACTAAATCCTTTCCCCAATCTACCTCCCATAGAGGCCAATCGCGGCAAAAATCAGAAATCTACCGTTTTTGAAAAAGAGGCTTGGATTCCATCGAATGGTCTGGAACCCAAACTATCCACAGATACTGAGTATAAAGAACATTTTGAACCAGGGAGACCAAACAGTGAACGATACCAACCCACTTATCAAAATAATTTTGACCGTGTGATTCAGAACAGTCCTAGAAAATCGTACAGCGAGGTAGGCGGTCCAACGATGGAGAGATCATTTAAAGACTCAATGTTACAAATGTTACCACCAGAACCATTCTTACCCTCTGACCCTGTGAAATATACGAGCGAACAACGTCAGAGGCTGTTAGATATGGCGGCAGAAGAAATGAGAGGAGTCACCACCGACAGGCTGAAGGGGGCCTACCACCTCTTATCCAGAATCGACAGACAGCTGAATGGATTGTGTCAGTTTGAAAACGTGAAAGACATCTTGAAGCAGGAGAGGGTAAGTGAATTTCATCTTTACTGGGTAAAAACCTACTCCCGAACATGTGCTCAGAATAATATATAATATAATGGCATTCTGGAACCTTGATCTTTTCTTGTTCTGTCCATTATATCAAATACCTGTATATATTCAAAATAGAAAGAATACAGTCCTAGGACATTCTAATTCTTTCTGAGGATAATGTGTAACATATGTTTTGTTTGAAGGCTGACCCAACTCAAGACACTTTGAGGCTTATAGCAGCCATGTGTGTGGTTCCAAAAGTGCAGAATATGGTTAACTATGAAGACATTATTACATTTTTAAACGATGCAGTCAGACTTACACAGAATGGGTAAGTAATTTTTCAAAAGTCTTCCATATCTGTACCTTAGTTTGACAAAGATAGAAGATTTGATATAATAGGCTTTTGAAGCTAGCATTGATGTAAAAGTTGATTGGTCAGGAGTATGACTTGTTAGACAATTTAATACTTGCGTTGTATCATTGGAGCTTTACCCCCTAAGTAGATTGACGTGTAACCATTTTAACAGAAAAGCAAAGACCTTTACAGTATACATTCTAAAAAGAGGAGTTAATGTCTTTAAGATCACGGTGGTATAATATAATATTGTGTAATTGACACATCGATCGGGAGTGTAATTTTTATATTTTGATCAATAGATAACGTTAATTGAGGGATATCTTCAAGTTTTGTAGACAATCCTTTTTCTTAACCTTGCAAATGTACTTGTATATTGAAGATATAATTTCTTCTTTGAAATCATGTTACATTGATTCCATTTTCTGTTAAAACCAATCTGTCATAAAACTAGTAATAATAGCAACTGTTCCTGTCTTTCGATCTTTTGATTGCACATTCGCGATCTTTAAATCAACGATAGGTGAAATCTAATCGTTTTTTAAATGTTCGAAATAACGAAGCATAATTGTTGGCAAAAATCCCAATCTCTCTTGTCTGTATTTTAGTTTACACTTTTCCATATTGCAGAGATATCCTTCTGTATTACTGTCTGCTTGCAGATTAACTGTTGCTATCTGTTCTGTATACATATAAATGTTTGTGTGGACGAATTTTTGTCAACAAAAGGAGATAAATCTCGGTACTTGTATAAATCCAACATGTCAATGGAAAAAAATATCCCAAGAGTTTGACGAAAATTTGTTCTCATTAATACTCATATCAGAATAATGTATGTTTAGTAACATGGCGCTTACTGGCTTTGTATGGTTGTAGCCCATCCGACTCTAGTCGTCATCAGTATTACCAGCAAGGAGGGCCCTCGTAAGTCCTTAGCCTCCTACACTCCTCCACTGACTTCTGCATGTCCTGTGTTTTTCCTCCTTAGCATTTCCACTCTTTCTGTTCGTCATTTTGAAAACAGTATATCAACCGATAAAAACAGTCACACTACATAGCAACCATGATAAAGTCTTTTTGGAAACACGACAAATTTATATCCAAATGAAAAAATGATTTGTTTTAATTGGTTGTCTTGGTAGTGATGCTTTTTATCTAATCAGAAGAGTTCTATAGTAAATATAGAGGAACTCGAATGGTTCAGAAGATTTCTGTAGTAAATATAGAGGAACTCGAAGGAAAACCATAAAGATATACTGCCTTTAAAATGATTTGGAAATTGAAAGTTCCCATAAACTTCCTTTCTTTCTTTATGCATAAATCAGCACTGGTTGCAAGGTTGAAAAATAAAAAAAAATCACAAGGGTGTCTTTGAATGCTTAATGACAATGACTTTCAGTGAATCAATAGAATACCATATTTTAAAAAAAATAGCAAATCTACCTAGAAAATCAAACAAATGTATTTATATTTACTACCTCGTCAGCAAATATATACATGTTCAAATATCTTTTTAGCAAAGGAGTACATCTTCAGATATCTCTTTAGGAAATGTATTACTATCTCTTCAGCAAATATACATGTTCAGATATCTCTTCAGCAAATGAATTCGTGTCCAGATATCTCTTCAGCAAAACATGTTCAGATATTTCTTCAGCATATGAAAACATGTTCAGATATCTCTTCAGCATATGAACACATGTTCAGATATCTCTTAAGTAAAGGAATGCATGTTAAGATATCTCTTCAGTAAAGGAATGCATGTTCAGATATTTCTAAAGCAAATGAATACATGTTCAGGTATCTCTTCAGAAGAAGGATATGGAGATAACGAACAGTATTCGATGTCAAAGTCCATAAAACAATACTAAATGGGAGCAGAGCAAACAAGGACCTCCGAAACATCAGAGGTGGGATCAGGTGCCATGGAGGAGTAAGCATCCCCTGCTGACCGGTCACATCCGCCGTGTGCTCCTTGTCATGATCGGAAAATAACGGAAAAATCCGTCGTCAATTCAGTGTATAAATAATGGACTAAGAATTCGTATGAAAAACGTCAGTCAGCATTTGACTCAATGATAAATTGTATTTGCTGACAAGGTCAATGTATCGACCATAGAACTTACGAAATGATGACTTTAAACGAGACTGCTGATATTCTTGTTTCATCAACTTGCTTGTCAATAATTTACCTCGTTTTAGAAATTGTTCATACGTAGAGCAAGCTCTTGCGTATCGAATCAACTGAGGTATATACACTCCGTATGCCGGTGATGAAGGTATCTTGCTGCATAAGTAAGGGAAGTTGACGATAGAAAAGTTAGTCGTCACGTTTATCATATAGCTTGGTTGTTTGGTTACCATTAAGCAAAGAAATACAACTTCAGATAACTCTTCAAAAAATATTATAGATCTTCAAATATTTCTTCGATTAACAACCATTTCAATTATAGTAACATCTTAAAGTTTTAGAAGTGATTGGTGTTGGATATTTGTGTTCATAACTGCACAGGTTTGGTGTGGGTTGTATGTTCAGACAGCACATTATTTTTTTATACTTAATAATGTTCTTATTCCATCGTATTGAATCCAACTATTACTAATAATAATGCAGTAACATTTTCAGGATGCTATTAGAAATTAATAACGTTATATGGCAACGGCCTCCAATTTATTTTATTATTAATTTCATGAAACATGTCAACGATAGCGAAAAATTCAATGGATAAAACCCCATCTTTTATGGTTCATTAGATTTCTATGTATTCTATTCTAATCTTCTAGATTTGTTTTCTTATAGAGTCAAAACGAACATTTCGATCCCCAGAGAGAAAGAAACAGCGATGCTGCTTCAAAAAACAGCCCAGCAGTTGGGAACTAGTAAAATCGACATAGAAAGTTTAATCAGAACTTTTCAACTTTACGACCACGAGCGCACAGAAATGCTGTCCGCTCTTGAGGTATATGTCTATTGGTCAATGTAAACTGTTCTGTCACATTTTCTCTCAGCTGTGAATGGGCTGCCCCATGTCTTCAGACAAGAGCAGTTTTAGTATTCAGACCATCTACATATTCTTTATCATCTCAGATATAATGCAGATATAACATACTGCTGGAAAATATTTTCATCCGTAATTCTGAAGATAATTCGTTATTCACATAGTCAACTATTGTCTTTTTTCAGATTAAGAACGTTTTATTTGACAATAAAATTCAATTGACTGAATCACTAATCGACGATATTTTGGCAAAGATGACAGATGCAAACCGGGACGGAAAATACAAGTAAGATAATGTTTTTCATGTTATGTCAGAATTTAAAATTTGATAATTTTACTAAGGATCCAATACTTCTTAAGGCAGAATTCGTATTAACATTTACTTGATTGAAGTGCACGTCGGATAAAGGTACAGTTGCAACTAAGAGTTGTTTTCTGTTTTAGTTGGCGACGGTTTGTGGACTTCTTAGAACGCGTACAGCCTGCCAGAACGGGACTGGAAATCACGTACAACAAACGACCCCTTGAATACGCAAAACAGTACCCCCAGCCTGTTGAGTCCTGGCCCCGGGCAAGGGAATCTCCTCGATATTCATCTCCCCCTCCAGTCAATAATTACGGACCGGTTGGTAGTTTTGTGAAAACAAAGGGTTGAATGGTTGCACATGTTTATGAATATTACTGAGCACGGAAAGTTAAACTGCATGTTCGGATAAGAAGATTTCTATTTTTATCATTTTATTTTAATGCATAAATACATCAATTTTCAATGAATTATTTGAAATGTTTGATATTTGCACCGTTTGAAATTGCTGCATGGGATCAGTGGGAACGATTTTTGATTTAATGAGTAGAATTAGATGCATTAAGAGACAATGTGATACTATGAACACAATATAGTTTAAAATGATCAGAAGATATTGTTTACAGATATCTGTGAACAGACGTAGAGTTAAGGACTCTGATTCAATATTAGTGGATAATTTCAATGCAGATATCAATTATGTTTAAAAATTTCACAGAGATCGCCATTATCTCCAAGAAAGAACATGAGTTATTCGAACAGTCCTCGGTTCGGAGGTCCCTCGGGCCCCAGCAATGATATCTGGCGAAAAATCCAGGATATCGAGGACGAAATAAAAAATTTAGAGCAAAATAATCAGGTACAATATCATCATGTCATCACAATGTTCATAAGTTGTTAATTTGTACATCCCTATATCTTATGTCTCCACAGCCCAATACAAATCGCCAATCTCAGAAGGATATTTCCCATCGCATTGCTACAGTCCAGGATGAAATCAATGAGTTAGAATTCAGCAATAAGGTAGTCCTAGCCAAGGCTAGCCCTAGATCTGTATACCCTGCTCCTACAGTTTTATCAGAAGATTGATTTCAGAAACACCCTACACCTTGACCCAAAGAAACATTTTGAAATCTTGACAAACTAAGAAAATACAAAGTGTCTTAAATAAAAGAACAGATTTTATATCCTTTTTTCCCTTAAGTGAATATCATCACAACAAATATGTTCACTGAAAGGGAAAGAATTTGAGTTACATGCCTGTTACTTTTGGGATGGCCCTTTGTATTTTCTTAAAAGTCTTTGTCTAGTGTGTGCACATTGTTTCGAAAGGTCAAGAATTGTGGTCTCTGAAATTATCTTATAACCTGTCCTTGTTTTATCACTTGTCTCCATTGCTAAGTGTTCTTTTCTCTGCACATGTGTTTGGATTTTGAGGCACGTTTTCTGAAGGTCTCCTGTTTTTATTCTGTCTTGATTTCTTCTCCTATTTATGGAGGGTAACGGATTAATGGTATATTGCAAGTTAAAACCGTTTAAGAAAAGCTTCCAGGTATCCAGGTAAAATATTAAGGATCATCTTGTTTTCATGCTTTTGTTCATTCGTGTTTTATGTCTTGTGCTATTATTTTTTTAAATAAAAAAATCAATGTTTGTGGCTAAATTTTGATTAAAAAATCTTTATCTGATAAGAAATATTTTTCTAACATCTTTCCATCTCCATCTCTTATTTCTGTTTTATTAACAAGAATCTGAAGTCCGCTTAACCAAATATATAGATTGTAGACTTCTTTAATTACAAAATTAAAATGTAATATTTGTTTCAAAATTTTAAATAATCTTAAAGACGAAAACCTTTTATGAAAAATCTTAAATTAAATATTAAACTAATTGTATCATGATCGAGGTGTGTTCATTTTCCCTGTGACTGTTTGCAGTTTTTGCGACAAGGCATCGAGTCAAACGCCAGGGGTGATTCCTGGGAGGCGAAACTCATCCAACTGGCAGGGCAGCTGTATCGCCTGAACGAAACACGCTATAGATCTAGTGGTAAGGGGGAAATACCATAAATAAAACGTCGAAATAACGTCTTTATTAAGTTGTTTTATGGTTATTCAAAAGTGTCTGCAATTTCATATCAACAGTAAGAGGATTTGACGTGACGTTTAAAACTTTAACAAATTCAAATCTTCAATGGATGAATATTAATGATAGATAGCTGAAATGATTTTTTTAAATTAAACATTTGAAAAGATGTTAAATGTCTGAGAATATTGTATAAGTCAGATACAGTTATACTCCTCTGCTTATTTGTGCACTAATCATATAATCATTCCAAATTAGGAGTTCTGCCGTTTGAGACAATTGTGGACCAAACGACGAAGTACAATGAAAACGCCAGAATGGGATTACCATATGACGTCATATATCGACTTGCTCAAAGACATAGCAACGATCGTAACCAAGTAGATATTGATAGATACCTGAACGACTTAGGAGATGATAGAACATGGTACATGAAATAACCTTTGGAATTGTAGATTGTCAGTGCTGCCAAACAACATAGAATGTCTCTGTCATTACGTCATTTCTGATGTCATCACTTCATGTCCACTTAAACAAATGTATAACTTTGTAATGAACATAACATTCCAGAATGTATATCAACAGATTTACAAAAAATTTCGATATTTTTGAATTGATATACTGCCATATGGAATAGGGAAAAGGGTTGAATGCATATTACTCTTATTGCAACTGGAATCTATGGTCAAGGTTTTGATTTACAATTAATCGTGAAGTATATCATACATTTAAACATATTCAAAGTACTTTCTATATTTTCCCAAAGGCTACTGGAATGATCAAAAGAGAGTTCAAGTTGTATTATAATAGTTAAGGGGATGGAACACAAATTTTACTGTTCTACAATAGACTTCCTTGATCAACATTCGATAGACGTCCATGTAATAGTCTGTGATATTTTGTCTTATTTGATTCTGTCTGTTTTAGATTAGAATTTTAAGAAGGTATATTCTTCTCATTTTTTCGCCAAGGAGCTTTAGAATTTAAAAAAGGAAAAATATATATTCGTACGTTGTTGTACAAGAAAATGTGAGAAAAATACTAATTATATACTTAAAGTTATTGATTAAATCTGTGTGAAAAGATGTTGGAAATTTAAGAAGAAAGGTGCCTGATAAACTTGTATGTGATGTGATATATCAGCAGAGAACTAAAGCACAATCGTAAATGATTTATATATTTAAAACTATTATTCCACGTCTTGTACAGTAGTTCAAAGTTCTGTGATATTTTGGATATATTTATATTTTCATTAATTATATTTATTGAATAAAGGTTAGATTTTACATCAGTTATTAATTTGTTTGTTTAAATGATTGAAATATTAAATAATAATGAAAACATTTAAAGAAAATTCATGAATGTGAAGATAAAGAACAGTGACCAATATCGTAAATCCAGTAAACAAATCGTGAAAAGGGCGAAAATGCGGATCAAACCCTGTATACACCAAAAGTGCAATCAGGTGCCTAGAAGGAGTAAGCATCCTATGTCAACCGTTCATTTATGATATATTGATCAGGTGGACGCACTGTAGTAAAATTTAGAATAAAAGACATGATCTACCAAAAGATATCAAACATGACAGACAAAATACGACCCAACTGTAGGATACAGACAAGGTTAATATAACCTCGTATAATTTGCATAATTAAACAAGGTTGTTCCAGCGGTAGGGCACAAACAAGGTCATTATTAGCTGTAGAATTAGCAAAATTAAACCAAGTTGTTGAAATTCCTGTAACATCAACTTATTTGTCAGTTGTTTGCCTTGATTAAAAATAGATGATCGTATTCAGAGCATGCTCTTCTGTATCAGATCATTTGGAGACAGACACACACCATTTCCAGGTGAAGTTGGAAGATTGCTTTGTAAATAACAGAAGATGACGATGGTAAAGCTGATTATCTCATCTGTCATACAGTTACGTTCTAGTGGTCATTAACATATTCAAATATTAAAGAAAATTGACATACTCTGTAGTGTCTTTCCTTTGAGTTCAGTTGGATGTATCGAGTCGATAAGTGAATAAAAGTAATTATCGTTAAATGATAAAACATTATCTATACATCTAAATGTTGAGTTGAAGACTACAACATATGTCTTTTTCCTTCTTGTGAAAAAAGCTTTCGAATAAATTACACTTCATAAGAATATAAAAACAGGTTGGTTGAATGAAATGAACGGGAATTCCAATGGATTGTTGGAAACCCTGGTCTCCGAATACTATACGGGAGTTAAAGCATCTTTTTGATACCAACTTCGGAGTACATGTAGGTAGAATCAGAATGAGAATGGTTTGTACAATTTTCTAGATGACCGATCAAATGATATGAACATTTCTGAGTTCCGTATAATACTAGTAATTTATTGCTAATGTTTATGACCGTTTTACTCTTGTTAGCAATTTTAAGCTAAAGGAACAAACGGGTTTATTTGGAATTTTCAGTTGTGTACTGTACATTGACATTATGCTACTTTTGACAGCTCTTTTTTAAATACTTTTCGGAGATGATAGTATATGGGTTATTTAGTTTATAACAAAGTAGCGCGTCTAGAGTATCGATCTGTCCAACCGTCAGGTTCAATGAAAAACGTCAGATGCCAACGGATGGTTTCGTCTTTTACTCATCACATGAGACCAGCCGTGGGTGTCCGATGGAGACGCGTCTTTTACTCATGAGACGAGATCAAAAGTAAGTATCTGAGAAAAAAAACGACGATTTTACTCATTAAAATTTGAAAATCTCTTGAAAAAACACTTTCACTAGTATTCTCACAGGATTTTCGTCATTATCAATTATACATTTTACACCTAAAACATTCTCAAAATAGTATATTTATTAAACAATTCTTGAACCTATATTTTCTACATCTTTATATAATTAATAATATATTACGTATTAATCATCCTAAAAATAGTATGACTAATAAACAATTCATGAACTTATATATTAAGACAAGACCTTTCTATAGGTATAAATAATATGGACCCGCTTAATTTTAAAAAACCTTACTTTGGCCATAACTCATAAAAAGTTAACTCCAGGGATTTCATATTTACCAAGTTTCAACTTATTTTTTCAAATTTAGATAAATTTATTATCGTAAATAATCGCAAACATAAAATAATCTCATATTTTAAATTCGCTCGTATTGCACTAGTTGAACAATATAATCATATTTCAATCTTCTCTGGCTATTGACTAAATATCCCTTATACATAAATTATACTATTGCTTTAATTGTGAATCAGATAACTTAAGTAAATTTTAGAAAGACGTTAAAAGTGAAAGGGAGGTAAGTGGTACAGAATCTATTGAACATGAATCTTCTTTAAGTTAAATGCTTAAGCTACATGAGTAAAACATTGTTAATTCACATCAACACCGTTGCGTCCTAATATGAGCATTTATGGGGAGTAGAGGTACTGTGTGCACTATGTTTACTAAATGATAACCTCACCCCAATGATTATCATGGCAAAGTCCATGTTTTGCTCTGAAAGACCCGAAATAATTGTGAGATCAAAAATTAAAACAAAATGGCACAATGACATTTTGTAATAAATATCTTTGGAATTATGATAAACTTTTATTCTGAGGTATAAGAGGAGTTGCGGATAAAAGATTGGTACCCTTAAGAATTATGGAATGAAAAGAAGTGTTCATGCTTTGCTATGGGAAACCAAAATATATGTCCGATTAAAAAGTGCACAATCGCACTATGTTACAAAGATTCTTTAAAAGTCCCATCAAATTTCATTCAGTGGTATAAGAGGAGTTGTGGATAAGAGAAAGGTACCCCAAAGCGTATCAGACGGTAAATAGTTGTTATATCGACAAAGTTATAATGTTTTGAAGCTACATTGGCTTCAGATTAGTTAAGCTTAATTGTTGCACATTACGAACTGTGTATATTTATATTTGATAACAATTACCGATGTCATTCGTGTTTATAAAAAACCAATAGAAACTAGGGGTACTGTGAGCAATAACATCACTAAATGATACCCGCGCCTCCCATACGGTTATAATGGAAAGTCAGTGTTTTGCTCTGGGAGACCCGGAATAAGTGTCAGATCAAAAGTAAAAAAGGAGTTGCACAATGGCATTATGTATCAAATATTCTGTAAAAGATTCATTAAATTTTATTCAGTGGTAGAAGTAGAATTGCGGATAAGAGATGCCTACCTAAAAGCGTAACATATGGGCATACAGACAGATGCACATCCTGATCACTATTTACCCTCCCACTTTTCAAGCGGGGGACATAACTAGAGGCACCGTGAGCAACGAACTCACTAAACCGTACCCCCTACCGCCTCTCATAAGGTTATGATGAAAAAGTCTACGTCTTGCTATGAAGACCCGGAATAAGTGTCAGATCAAAAAGTAAAACAGAAGGTGAACAATATGGCATTACGAAATGAAGAATCTATGAAAGTATCATTAAATTTTATTCAATGATATAGGATGAGCGGTGGATAAAAGACGGGTACCCTTCAATATTATAGAAAAAATGGACGTGTCCATGTTTTGCTCTGTGAAACCCAAAAAATGTATCCGATCATAAAGTAAGCTAGTGATACTATGAGCAATGAGCTCAATAAATGATAACCCCGTCTCCCATATGAATATAGTGTCCATGTTTTGCTGTGGGAAACCAGAAAAAATGTGCCGGATCAAAAAGTAAAATAGGATGTCACAGTGGCAATATGTAATAACGATTCTGTGAAAGTTGAATCAAATTTCATTCAGTGGCATGAGAGGAGTTGCGGATAAGAGATGGGTACCCCAAAATGTGAAGGACGTAGACAGATGGACATACCGATTACTATATACCCTCCCACTTTTCAAGCGGGGATATAAATACGTGATGAACAATGGCGCTATGTTATATATCATATCGCCAAAGTTTTAATGTTTTGAAGCTACATTGGATTCTGTTTAACTACCATGAATAATTATTGTACATTACGAACTGTTTTTATTATAATTTGGTAACAATTACTGTTATCATTCATGTTTATAGGAAACCAATAGAAATTAGAGGTACTATGAGCAATAACATCACTAAATGATACCCCCGCCGCCCATACAGAAATAATAGCAAAATTCATGCTTTGCTCTGGGAGACCTGGAATATATTCAGTTGTATAGGAGTTGCGGATAAAAGATGGATACCCTTTAATATTATAAATATAATGGCAATGTCCATATTTTGCTCTTGCAAACCCAAAACATGTATGATTTTGTGGAAGTTTTTTTTAAATTTCATTCAATGGTGAAAGAGGTGTTGCGAATAAGAGATGGGCACCCCAAATATGGACGGACATCCCAATTATTATATACCCTTCCACATTTCAGGGGTATAATGATTGCATGGTACATGTAAGAAATATTATTTTTGAAAATCGGATTTCATATGTAATGGAAGTGTCAAACATTAACACAAGATTGACGAATATTCTTACAAATAATCGGTATGATTAATAATTTGAGGACTTTTGGATGACATGGATTAATTGTTACAATGTTAACGGATCTCAAAGTTTAAAACATACACATTTTGGACAATTTTGAAATTGATGCAAAGTTGATCTATAATAGTTCAGAGTTAAAATATGATTTAAACATTTCATACTTTTTTAAAAATAGTCTTTTATGTGTTGTAAAGGGGGGCAACAGACACATTGAATTTTTCTTTTTCTTTTTTCACAATGGATATATTCATTAAATATTTCATATCATTGACAGAAGATAGTACATACAAATTATAGAAAAGTATAACATAAGATTAATGTTTACGGTGAAAAATTATCAGTTACATTACCTTTAGAGAAATGGAACCATTAAAGGTAAAACGTTTCGTCAATAAGTCAATAGTATTTATCAAATATAAAGAAACTAGAGGTACTGTGAGCAATGAGCTCACTGAAAATTCTCTCTCTCTCTAATGAATATAAAAATGGTTCTATTTTTGCTGTTTTAAACCCAAAATATGTGTAATAAAAAGTAAAATAGGAGGTGTACAATGGCAATATGTAATAAAGATTCTGTGACAGTTTCATAAAATTTCATTCAGTGGTATGAGAGGAGTTGCGGATAAGAGATGGGTACCCCAAAGCGTAAAAGACGGACGGACGGATCCGGACATCCCGAATACTACATGTAAATACCCTCCCGCTTTTCAGGCGACGGGTATAATAACATAAAATCATTATATGACAAAGCCTATATGATTCGTCCAATTTAATGAAATATAATCTCCATTTAATGACTATTGAACAGTCTTCTTAGAGCCTTTTAATTTCTATGCTACATAACTTAATAAAAATTAAGTAAATATATTTTTGATTTAATACAGCCAACGTATAAGCATTTTTTTTAAAGTTTGCCCTTTTCTGCACGAAGTTTCAAGAAAAACCATGATAATGTGTACCTCATAATTTCAGTGCTTACAGAAGTCTAAATGATGTTTTCTTTTATTTGAATGTACTGGAGTGGGAAAAATGCTAGGGTAGTGGGGTCTCAATTAAAAAAAAATGTAAGTGCATTACCTTCATAAATACAAGTAACAACAGTGAAAATAACAGAAAGACCGACGTCTGCTTCAAAAATTTAAATTTCTTAGATCGAGTTTAAAAAATAAGAGCCAAATGCACTATAGGTGGTAATTTATTTTTTTTTTTCAAAAAACAGTTTTGATGATTTTCCATCTGCTGTTGTTCGCAGTTTGAGCACATGCAGAGTCAAGGCCCCAGGATGCACTTAAAAGTTTTCGCATTGAAATCTTGTCACATATGTTTAAGTCTTCTTTATTTTTTTTAAAACACGAGACAGGGAACACTTTGCAAAAATCGCGAAGAGCAAATTATTCTATCAAAATTATGAAAAATATTTTTATTGTTACTCAAGGTTTTCACATTTTTAAATATACATTTCATCATATAAAACTAGATTTGGCCAAAAAAAGAGAAGCCCCAAACCTGGCTCCGGGGAAATTAAACTTAGAAGAGTCCCTTCTTGAATGTCTCAGTCCAACTGTAATTCTAATTACCAAGCCGTCATTTCTCGCTGTAAATGATTTTACAAGTGTTTTACCTTTTTTGTTCTTTACAAAAAATAAATAAATAAATAAATAAAATATGAAAAGAATCAGCAATCTCAACTACTAGTACAACGCACTTTGTTAATTTGAAGGGGTCGATCTAATTTTGTAATATTTTTTATTTGTTTTTGGGGACTGTTTTGATGTGCCATCTTTTTGCTAACTTTTTCTGATGATGTTTCGATTGTCTTGTTTTACATGTACTTTTTTCTGGTGAGCACATCAAGTGAGCTTTTCTGATGCAAAAAGTTCTTCGGCGTTGGCGTCGTCGTCGTTGTCGTTGTTATGTTTAAGTCTTTTCACATTTTCATCTTCTTTTAAAAAAAACTTGGTACAAAGTATCCTTGGGTGAAAAATTCAAGTTTGTTCAAATGAAGGGCAATTCTCCTCTATCAAAATTAGTGAAAAAATTAATGGCATTTTTAAAAATCTTCTTCTCAAGAACCACTGGGCCAAGAAAGATTCATGTGGAAGCATCCTTTAGTGTAGATTCATTTGTTCAAATCATGCCCCAAAGGGTGGGGCTGACTCCGTTTTACATAGGAATATAATTAAAAATCTTTAAAAATCTTCTTCTCCAGAACCGCTGGGCCAGGAAAGATGAAAACTGTAATTCCTAGGTAGTGCAGATTCAAGTTTGTTCATTTCTCGTTGTAAATGATTTTACATAGGAATATATAGGAAAAATCTTTAAAAATCTTTTTTCCAGTTCTTGGGCCAAAAAATGAATTAAATAATTAATAAAATTTGTTCAAAAGACCCCCGGGGCAAGGGTGGGGCCAACCTGGCAACTAAGTTTTACGTAGGAATATATAGGAAATATCTTTTAAAATTTCTCAAGGGGCCAGGAAAGATGAAACTCATGTGAAATCATTTTGTAGATTCAAGTTTGTTTTCATGACCCCCGGGAAGGGTGGGGCTGGCCGACCCAAGTTTTACATAGGGATATATAGGGAAATCTTTTAAAATCTTCTTTTCAAGTACTTCAAAGCTATGATTATTGATATTTATATGGAATCATCCTCAGGTAGTGTAGATTCTTTTTTCTGAATGCCTTTTTGGAGGGGGGGGGGGGGAGTAATTCAAGCCCGATGTGCTCACGTGAGCTGATGGCCAGGGCCTTGTTGTATTTTTTTTTGAGAGACCCATTACTATATTTTACGTAACTGATAATCAGTTCACGTTTAAACCGCCATTTTAATAAATGACATAAATCGAATTCATTTTAATGAAAGTGTTTTTTTTGTACAAAATCAGCAAAAACAACCTGCGGTGAGCTTGCCTGTAAGCATTAGAAGACATGAAATATTTTATATTCGTTATGGAGACGTAATTTTGTGCACTGTGTATACAGAGAATTCAACAACATGATACTAGTAGTTGCCAACGTGTGATTATTTGGGAGCCAGGGTAAGATAATCTACAAAATTCATTAGTGCCCAACGAACAACGACAATTCAACAGTAAATTAATGTTTTCTTCTGTGCTTGATTTCGGAAAGCCTGGGTTCTTTTGTTAGAAGATATTTAAATATTTCTTTAAAACTTGATTGGTTTTTATAGAAATCTTGACCTTGTTCCAATTCATTACTAGAATATGACCATCGATCCCCTCAGGCAGATTGTGTGAAATTCTTCCCCTTTGGAACAATCAGTCTGCATCAATTTATACCACCAACATATCATTTTTCTAACTGAAGTCGTCTTTTAATTGCGCAACACTGATGTGTAGATAAAAGACTTTAAATGTCTCAATAAATTAAAAATCTAAGAACAGATAAGTATTGTGAATTTAAAATTGTTTGGCCTTTATTGATGTTCACGGACCATGCATAAGCAGTGATGAGTGAAGTTCCTTTCACTTAGTCCATTTACATGTAGGTATCGACAACAAAAAGTTCACGGAAAACATAATATAGAATTCAAGGGAGTTTTTATGTACGGAACGCGGACATTCGTTCTTGTTTGTGTGGTATGGATGTAAAAATCCAGTTCTAAATGATCCATGGCACCCAAAAAGTGAATGAAATCATCAGAATCTAGAGATAACTTGAACGGTGAGCAAGAAAAGGTCAGGAGTGAACGCAGGAAAGTATTTGCCAGACATGTCTGATTTTAAGAAAAAAACCAGTCGAACAAAAATAGACCCTCCAACAAATAACAGAAATCCACCGACGAATAGAAGAGATCCACTGAGAAATAGAAGAGATACGCCAACAAATAACAGAGATCCGCCAACAAATAAAAGAGATCCACCAACTTATAGGAAAGATCCAATGAATAAGAAAGAAAAAACGGGAAGAGACGGTAAAAGATCGGTGAGTCTCCCGCCTCTGAAAACAGAGAGAAGTTCCAGGAAGGTGAACCGTGCTCCAGAGTGGCAAAAGCGTCCTTGGAGCTTAGAACCATCCAGGGACATCTGTAAAACTGAACAGTCAAGAAGTACTCGTGACAAGATGTCAAACTTTAAGCCTCACACCACTTCCCAAAGCGAGTTGTGGTCTATTTACAATGCCAAACCAAGGTTTCCGACACCTTACCGCCCTGACAGCTCTTTCTCGATGAAGTCCAATTCCTCCCGCCCCAGTAGCAGAAGTTCGAGCATTCAGAAATGGCACAAAGATACCGAGGCTGCCTACGACACGGTAAGCCAGAGGAGTCTGCGCTTTGAGAAACATGTCAAAAAACTTGCTTCCGTCACAACCAAATTCGATAGAGATGCTGAGAGAGCTAGGAGAGAAAGGGAACGTAAGAATAAAGAAGATAGGGAAAAGCTTTTGAAAGATTTAAAGGAAAAGAGAAGGGACTTTGCAGTGAGAAATTATAAACGTGTTCACCAACAGTTTGTTTCGCCAAAAGTTTTAGAACATGAAAGGGATGAAAGAAACAGTTATGGCCTTCCTAAATATTTATTGTTTGATGTCAAGCATCCGAAAGCCAAACCAAAACCAGACAATTCAAAGTCTCAGACTCCAAGAATTCAAAAACATTCACAACTTCCCGCCAGTACAAAGATTGCCCTCAACACGGACAAGAAAACTCAACAACAGAAAAACAATACAACCAACAGGTCAGGCGATTTTCGATCTGCAAGTCGGCAAAAGGAGTACCAGGAGTTGTACAAGATTTATTGTATCCCTGGCAACAGCAGACTCCGAGACTGGGCCAAAGAGGAGAATGCTGCTCTTGCAATAGGTACTGTATCTAAACATTTATTGTTTACCATTAAATTATAAGCGTGTAGATGAAGATTTTTACGTAGTATCAAATGGCTCTAAAATTGGGGTGAGGACAAGTTTCCCCATCTACTCCCAAATATAGACTAAACTCGGTCCTATTTTCAAATTCCTTTAAATACAAATACATGTAGTACGATTTAAAAGTTTCAAGTTCCTTTAAATACAAATAGTAATATTTCACAGTAAATACAATTAGTAATATTTCAAAGTTTCAAATTCCTATAAATACAAATAGTGATATTGCAAAGTTAGAGTAAGTTTCTAATAAAATTTAATTCAAATTCGAAAACCATTCTGGTCTACTCTTTAATTATCAAAATACTAGTATATTTTTATGTAATAATATAAAAACGGTTTGGCTGTTCTTTTTTATATGTGAGAAATTTATGACGTTTTTATTCTTAAAGAATACATCTCAAAAAATTAAAAACTTGATTATTTTAAATTCATGAATAAAACATGCCATACATATTGTAGAAAATGGAACACTGAAAAATGTAGGAAAGGGATCTGTTCGTTCAGTTTCCTGTTCATATAATGAATTTTACGACTTTTTCCTTATATTATAGATATATTAATTAGTAAATTTATTTCACTATACTGTCATCCATCGCTACCGACTTTTTAAAACTTGTCTGTAATGTACCTTAGGATTAAGAACGTCATTCGGGGTCAAATGTTTATACGGCAAAATAAATACAAATAGATGAAATGTAAATAAGCTGAAATTAAATGTCGAGTGGCGAACTCAGGAACTGTGTAAAATATAGCGATAAATAATGTTTCAACTAATCTTGTTAGCTTAATAAAAAGTATTTAAATGAAAATATGAAATTCTGGCAGGTTCACAAAATAAATGATAGATAAACAACCCAAAACTTTCATAAATATAAACCGTTATTAATGTTTAGGCCATATTTTCTGCTTTGCGCAAATAAAATTATATATATAATGGTTAAGAAGAAATCAGATGTATTCTAACGGTGCAATTAAGCCATCGTTGAAAAATCGCTTGCCCTCTTCTGACCGACTGACTAAAAACGGCCCGACTCAACTTTTTTGAACCTCAAGGAAACAATCATTTATAAAAATTAAATTCTAGGTTCTCTTTCCATGTAATATAAAAGTAGTATCTATATTAACTTTATATTTACCAAATGTTTTTAGTGAACAAAAACTCTATTTACATATGTCACCATATATATGGGTGTAGGGCTTCAAATTTAGACCCTTAATTGGCACTTTTGGCCATCGAACACTGTTGGACCTTTTTGTGCCGATGACTGCCGATGGACCTCGATTTTTAGGTCTTATTCTAAGGACTTGCAATTTTTAATTCAAACTGCCAAGCATTCTGTGAAGGAAAAGTATTTTGGGGGGACTCCGCTGGTCAATCGCGACCGGGATTCGAACCAACGATCTACTGATCAATGGGCGCGCTCTAGTAATTAAACAATAAAAAAAAGTCTTCAGTATTAAAATCAGCTTAAGAGTACACTCATGTACTGTGTATTTATACAAATCGCCTTTCAGAAATCTCTAAAATCTTAAATCTTAGAGTTTTGCCTTATGTACTATTATATAGAATATAGAAAAGTACTACTATTGGTCAATCACAAAATTTGAAAATGCCCGAGTCCTTTTTTGTGGAAAAGCGGTTGATTATATAATCATGAAATTAAATGCTCCAAGTTCAATTTTCTACCAGTATTAAGAGATAAAATTTTTCTATATGGAAATAGCAAAGTAAAAGAAACATTTCTTTTACTTGGCTATTTCTATTTAGAAAAGTTAATTCAAAGGGGCATCAATACCTTTTTCAAAACATAAAGAAATATATGTAAGGTATGAAATTTTTTTTTCATTTCATTTTCAGCATTCAACAGACGATCACGATACACAGAAAAACCTAGACCAAGCACTCTACCATCACTGAGGACTAATATTTACAATTCGCCGTATGTAAACAACAACAAATCACAGAGACTCGTGCCAGTTCATTGAAGAAGAAAGCAATATAGTCTCTTGAAAACCAATGAAAACAGCAAAATAAATGAAAACAGCAAAATACTAGTAGTCTCTTGAAAACCAATGAAAACAGCAAAATAGTCTCTTGAAAAGCAATGAAGACAGCAAAATAGTCCCTTGAAAACCAATGAAGACAGCAAAATAGTCCCTTGAAAACCAATGAAGACAGCAAAATAGTCCCTTGAAAACCAATGAAGACAGCAAAATAGTCCCTTGAAAACCAATGAAAACAGCAAAATAGTTTTTCGCAAACCAAAAGGTACAAAAGGAGGACTGATTTGTAGAACTGAAGCTTTTTTAAATTGCTACATGTATTTGTTACAGTCATCTAAGCAAGAGCATTTTGATGCCACCCATGTAAGCATGTCAGACAGAATGTTTTAATGTATTTTAGTTATTAACATGTAGAACAATAGGTGATTTAACTTAATTAATACAGAATGTATTAGATAAGGAGCACATGTACATTTTTTAGTTGATAAACTAAATAAATAATTCATTGTTAATGAAAAAAAGCTTTAATTATTTTTTTCGAAACTTCAGAAAACATCTTATGTGTAACATTACTCATTTATTGACTGGTTTCGATGGCAACATGCGTTTTGTCAGAGAATAACGCTTAAACCAGATGCTGCTATAAATGTTTTTCTTCAGCAAGAAACATCATAGAACCTAGCACAATATTTGCCTATGTCGGTAAGGACAACAGATCTGCCCCTGAATAGTCACAATTTTCTTTACAAGATATAGTATTTTTTTGTACTGAAAACATCAGGCTTTTTATACATTTACATTGTTCATCTTTATTCAGGACTTAAACTTTATGAACTTTCTATCCAGTACAGTGAAATTTTCTAAGCAAGAAGTAATGATTTAATTTTTTAACTGATAATATATATCATACTGTGTATTATAAATAAAATTAAAACATTGCTGTGACGTCAAGCCTTTGTTCTTGCAGTCTAAAAATTTAACTGTAGCCGTCCGATAATAATAATTACCAGTCTGATAATATATTATCGGACGGCAATGATAACAAAATCGGACGGTATTTAAAAAACAAAAAGAACAGTGAAATTAAGATGAAATGTGTTCAGAAACCCCCAATAAAAATGTTAGGAAAAAAATTCAGGGAAACCAAATGCAAGGAAATTAAGTTGATCACAATACAAAATAGCAAATCCTTGAAAAAAAATCCGAGTTTAAACCTTCCACAATATTAATTTTCACTCTTTAAAAGAGTTTTTGATTCAGCACTTTGAATAAGCGAATTTAAATCCATTTCTGAAAAAAAGATTCTGCAATTTCCTTTTATGTTTGTTCCCCAATGGCCACGCTTTCAAAACCTGAGAATTTCCAATATCTAAGCTAAAAATTCAGCTAGGTTACAAATCCGCATTTTACTTGCCATGGTGATGGTTATAATATCACCTAAAATTATGTCAGTATCAATGTCAATTAATGCACATCATAAATAAAAATGTTCCCCCAAAAAATATTTCACCACCGTATCCCTGTCCTGCTAAACGAAACGACTGCCATTGAATGAATGAAATGAATGAAACAAGAGTTCACTCACTCTTTTACTGTTCACTCATTTCTTTTATCTACTTATCAGATGGGTAGAAAACGATTGATGACTAAACTCCCATTGTGTTATTATCGGACTCCTCCAGGTAACTTTTGGACATTTAAATGGCAATGTTTTAAGTAAGATATATGCCTCATACTATTCTATATGTAAAATTATCAGACAGTTTTCGGCCCTAACGGGCCTCAAACAGTCTGATAATTTTACATATAGAACAGTATTCGGCATATATCCATTACTTACTATAGTTAACTACAGTGATAACTTTGACACTATGAAAACTTTGATTTACTATTATAATAGTGATAACTTTGACACTTTGATTAATTACTAGGATAGTAATGGCTTTACTATGACACTATAGTGATCACTTTGAAAACTTTGATTTACTATAGTGATCACTTTGACACTAAAATGATCACCTTGAAAACTTTATGTTTTGTAATTTTTGTATATTTTTCTTTGAACAATACCAGAATTTCAATATTTGATATCTTTTTGAAACCCATGGTAATGCATGCCTATTTTTGTTTGTAAACATTAATTGGTGCATATATTATAATTTTAAATAAGAATGTATGGAAAAAATCATTAGGCAAGCAACGATGCGTTTGGTCGTAAGAGAAAAAAAAAAACTTTTTTCTCCCATCGACCACCAAACACATACAGACTTGAAATTGCTTAGATTGATATCAATTAATTATTAATTATAATAATTTAATCATTTTAGAAACAACAAATTAATCATAATACATGTAATTACCATAATTTGATATTTCTTTCCACAGGATACGTGTCTTAAACGGTTTTTCATACAAAATATTACCGGTAGGTTTTCTGTGCAATACCAACACGACAGAAAAGATTAGATTTTTTTACCTTGTTTAGAGAAAATGTCTTGGTCAGTGTGAATCCCCATCCAGCCTCGAATGCCCTCCTGATCATGGTACTACTGGTGGTGGGCGTGGCACTGGCCAGGCCAAAAGGATTGGGGAACTTCAACCCACACATTTCTACACTCACGTCCACCTTATCAATGGGGGTGAAGAATTTGGGCAGAGATGGAGTGGACGGAATTGGAATTCCATGTAAAAATAATATTTAGTAGTCAATTCTTTTCATTTTGATATCTGTTACTCATCTTCATCTGAGTTTACGGGGAAGGATGAAATCTATTTGAGGAAAAGATAAACTTATAATGTTAATTGATACATAGTGTTGCAATGGGTTCATATATTTATGAATAAATCTCAAAAAGGGGACATACATGTACATGTATAAGAAACTCCTTAAACAGGTCGGAGAGAATACTCGAAATCGGGTATTATCCGTGAAATCGCGTATAATACTCGATATTAGGGTATCGTTGAATCCGCGAAATCGGGTATAGGAGGTGTAATCACCTAATACAACTTAAAGAATGGGATGGCGCATGTTGCCGAGTTAACTTTCATCTAGATACAAATGTTTTCTAAAGTTATCACTAGCCAAGTAAGAATTTGGGCCTCAAGATTAATGCGCTCGGGACAACAAATACCCGTGGAGCTCAGTTCATTTCATGATCTGCACACAAAAAGGCGTTCGATTTGCTTTATATTTTTCCTTATGTTGAAAGTATATGCATATTCCTAATGTTCATTCTCAACACAACAGAATTGTAAAGTATCAGAATTCGGGAATTTATAATAATTCCACATCAACACGACAAACATGAACAATTTGTAAATAAATCAAATTATACGGAAACACATTTCACACACCAGATATGATGCCATGTAAAACAAGGGATTGTCTATCGTATCTAATTATGCGTCATTAATTACTTTCACATTCATTTTGTGCATAAAATCAAATTTATTTTTGAATGTATAAATAATGTAATGATAAAAATGTCTAAAATTTCGGCTATAAGAACCTTCTTTCCCTTTTTTAAAAATCTTTTCTTTTTTATTTATCATTCAAACATATTTGCAGAATATGACTTCAAAATTTTAGCAGAGACAGTGATAGTTTCAGGAATACAGCTCATGAGAGAACATAACTGTTGATCGGTTAATTTCGCTAAGTCATCAATATTTTACCATTTCTTGGCGACTTCAAAGGGGGGGGGCTAAAGGCTTCTTGACCACCTCTGACAAAACAACCTCGACTGTGTTCTACATGTGTCTAAGAGACCTCTCTTTGAATGTCACGGTCGGTTAAACTCGGTCATATATTTTTAATCGTAGGGAAGATTTATTCATCAAATAAAAATCATTTACATTGTGGGTAAACAAAAAGCAACCTGTTATTTTCTAACACAATGTAAGACTACAAGTAACTAGAATTCATGTTTATTTTTTAAACACATTTTTTCATTAAAGATGAGTATTAGGAAAAGTTATTGCCATGAGTAATACGTATCATAGATAAAATAACTAAAACAAAACTGTGACATATTGTCTAGAACCAATCAGATAGTGCGTTGTATTAGCATATTATAATGAGGTATAAGATATTTGCGCCGTTGCTTTATTCTTTTTTTTTTATAGAAAGTTGCACGGAATACCCGATTTCGCGGATTCAACGATACCCTAATATCGAGTATTATACGCGATTTCACGGATAATACCCGATTTCGAGTATTCTCTCCGACCTGTTAAATACGTACACAAATTTTCACAATATCATATGCATATATTCAACTAAATAAATACCTTTAACATTTTTAAAAGGAATAAAATAAATTTTAAAGCAATTAATAAAAAAAAATATTTTAATAGATCTCTCGCAAATGATCACTGCAGATTCAAACATTAATTGCTTATAAGCATCAAACGGCGTATTTAAAATTAATTTTTACAATACTTTCAAAATACATACAAGTAATTTGCTGATAAGCTTCAGATGAATCAGAACAAGTAAACAATAATATATGCTGAACATATCAGATAAACATGATCAATATCCATATACTGACACCCCCTTTCTTGTGAATATACCGTAATACATGTAGTAGCATTATCGCTGGCTACATAGATTTTTTGTCAATTGTGCTGCTCTTTTACAATAAAAAAAAATATTGATTAAATCTTCATTTTAATTTTATCTTTGATTCCATAGCAAAAATGACGTTCTTTGAAGCATGAGTCACACATATATATAATTGTTATCTGTAAACTATTTGTGGGATATTTTATCAACCAGAAAGTAAATAAAAGATCTCGTTAAAATCACGTGTAAAATATTGGGTGGACGTTCCAAAGTCTTCTATACAACATTCATTTATTGGACAGTCGTAGCATTGTAAGTCTGCAACCATTTTTCAAATAATTAATAATTTAAAATCATCTTATCTTTTTATCTGTCAACATTATTTTTTCTCAATATCATTTCAGGCTGACAGTATCAAATCGATTTTTTTAGTCTGTCATGCCTATACATTCTCTTTAATACAATGTCATTTGATTTCATTGGTTTAAAAGGACATGGACAAATTTTCAGCAAAAACAAAAAAAAAATGATATTTCTTTTTTAATTTTTATGTTAACATATACTTTACTAAAGTACTTTGAATGGTTATCATAAATTTGAATTTCAACTGTTCGGATACGGTCCTACTAAACGGAGTACGCTAGTATGATAGAGTACTTTAGAGTACACTAGTAAAATTTTATAATTTAACGCAATTAAACTGCTTTTTACATGTTTTCTACTTTAGTTTAACATATTGAATATATATTTTAAATAAAATTTGTATGTTTTCTTTCTTTTAGGAGTTAGGACCTATTTCAATTTTTGATCTCAGGCTACGGTTAATCGTTTGATCTCCATGTAATTTAACTTGAACATGTTGAAATGTATCATTGTGAATGTGCAAAATATTTACACGTGCAATTAATTTAAGATTTGATAAAATTTAGATGTTAGTCTTTAGTAAGTAAGTCTGAAACAAAATAGTAATCGGGATTGGGCTATTAGTAATCTTTAACATGTTTAATGATATGGATGTTATTTTCTTGTCAAATTACCGCAACAAATATAGCAATACAAGTTTATAACAAGAGGCCCATGGGTCACATCGCTCACCTGAGCACTGTGGCTAGGAAAAGTAGAAATTGGTTTATTATCGAACAGTTTAAATCCAAAAGTAGTCCCGTGACCAGTCATGGATTTGCTATTCTCGAGAAGAAGATTTTTAAAGAATTTTCCTATATATTTCGATGTAAAAGTGTGGTCGGCCATTTTGGCCCCGCCCTACCCCCCGGGGGTCATCATTTGAACAAACTTGAATCTACACTACCTGGGGATGCTTCCATATGAATATGATGAATTATGGCTTTGTCATTCTTGAGAAGAAGATTTTTAAAGAATTTTCCTATATATTTCTATGTTAAACTTTGGTCGGACATTTTGGCCCCGCCCTACCCCCGGGGGTCATCATTTGAACAAAATTGAATCTACACTACCTGGGGATGCTTTCATATGAATATGATGAATTATGGCTTTGTCATTCTTGAGAAGAAGATTTTTAAAGAATTTTCCTATATATTTCAATGTAAAAGTTTGGTCGGCCATTTTGGCCCCGCCCTCCCCCCCCCCCCCCTCGGGGGGTCATCATTTGAACAAAATTGAATCTACACTACCTGGGGATGCTTTCATATGAATATGATGAATTATGGCTTTGTCATTCTTTAGAAAAAGATTTTTAAAGAATTTTCCTATATATTTCGATGTAAAAGTTTGGTCGGCCATTTTGGCCCCGCCCTACCCCCCGGGGGTCATCATTTGAAAAAACTTGAATCTACACTACCTGGGGATGCTTCCATATGAATATGATGAATTATAGCTTTGTCATTCTTGAGAAGAAGATTTTAAAAAAATTTTCCTATCTATTTCTATGTTAAACTTTGGTCGGCCATTTTGGCCCTGCCCTACCCCCGGGGGTCATGATTTGAACAAATTTGAATCTACACTACCTGAGGATGCTTGCATATAAGTTTCAGCTTTCCTGGCACAGTGGTCCTTGAGAATATTTTTAAAACACGCCACCAAATTTTCATTAATTCCCAATTATCTCCCCTTGAATGAGGGCGTGGCCCTTCTTTGAGCAAACTTGAATTCCCTTTACCCAAGGATGCTTTGTGGCAAGTTTGGTTGAAATTGGCCCAGCGGTTCTTGAGAAGAAGTCGAAAATGTGAAAAGTTTACAGACAGACAGACGGACGCCGGACAAAATGTGATTAGAAAAGCTCAGGTGAGCTAATAATGTTTAGTAAATTTTTACATACATAAAAAAACAATTTAATTGCATTAAATTACATAAATTTTCTAGCGTACTCTAAAGTACTCTCTCGTACTCTGTTTAGTAGTAGCCGTTAGGATATGACATAATTAGAGCTCTTAACCTTTGTTTTGTGAACAAGGCTCGTGCCATCAATTTGTTTGAATAGCTTAAATATATTAATGTATGTTCGTTCAAAGCAGATTTTTTTTTCAATAAAAAGTTAATTCTAAATACAATCAAACAGTTTCTAGTAATTTGTAAATCTTGTTATAAATATATATTTTTATGTAAATAAAAAAGCAGACACAAGCCGTGTTTACATTATGTAGAATTGTAAGTTGTATATCCTTTGTAAATCAACAAATGATATTCAAATATTTGCTGATAATTTGAATTGCATTAATTAGGAATTGTACACATTAATATTGATTTTTTAAAATACCAGTTTAAATTGTGTCCATGTCCCTCAAGGGGGCCGACTTTAGTTTCCATTGCGCAATATTTCGCGCATCATAGTAAAATGCTTATTTACTGTTTTAATGCAACTTTTTTTTACTTAATTATTAAAATTAAACAAAATTAAGAAATTATAGCTATAAAAATGTAATTACAATTTGATATAACGGATTTTTTAACTGATTTTACAATTGATTGGTAGGTTGGCGTCGCTGCAGTGTGTTTTTGACGTTATGATAATCTGTACCTCTTAAGGGTAATAAAAATTTTATTAAAGAAAAAGTAATAAATATACGCTCTTGAAATTTAAAACATAGAATTTGAGAATATCTCCAATATTTTTATTATGTTTTCATGTGAATCCATTGTGTAGGTCATATTTAGTAATACGCCATAAAAATAGTAAAATTTGCTACTTTTTTGCATTTTGAGATGCCCCCTCCGGTAACAAGACAGTAGAATTTTGTGTTTCTTACATATATTGTATAATATAGTATTACTCATCAAATATTATTGTTTGAACAAAATATCTATTGTAGTATTTGTATAATCTGCTTTAAAGTACTAAAAATTGACATCTTCCTATATAATTCTATAGTAAATGTACCTGAATATTGAGACGGTCCCTCAAAAATACCTGGACGGTAGATTTCCCCAAACTTTGCATGTACCCTGAAGTCAATTTAAGTTATATATGGTATAAAAATGAAGAGTTTTGCTATTGTAGTTTTCGCACAATAAAACTATAGTCGGCCTCCTTAAAAGTCTGTTTGAATAACTTCAGATGGCACAATCCAAACCAAGAATACCAGACACACCCCAACACTTTTTAGAATGTGACATGAAAGACTGTGAGAGAAACTGTCAATATTACTGCAATCCTTGCCACCAACAGATGTGTGAACAATGTAGAGATGAACATCGAAGAAATCCAAAAACAAAAACCCATGAAGTGGTCCAATACCAACTACGAAAACGTCAACTTCCTGTTAAGAAATGTGAGATTCACCCCACTAAGGATATAGATCTTCTCTGTGAAGAATGTAAAATCCCTTTATGTTCTAAGTGTGCTACCACTCCAGAACACAGAGGCCATCCCTTCAATGATTTAGAGACTATCTATGCTGAGAAGTTCTCATTCTGTCTAGAAGAAATTACCAAATCGCGGGAGTATTTTCTGCCAACATCACAAGACATACAAAAAGAAATTAAAGGAGATGCCACAGAAATCAAGAAGGTTATAGACAACATAAGAACCTCCATGAATTCTGAAGCCGAGTCCCTTAAAAGTCTGATGGATGAAGTGCATTCAGAGAACATGAAGCAGCTGGACCAGATAGAACACTCATTGCTTGAAGATTTAAAAACCCAGGGAAAAACATTTGATGAATACATCAAACACCTCAAAAACCTAATTAAGGAGTTTCAGGATTTTCTCTCCTCACCAGATCCCACAAAATTAACTCTGACACTCTCTTTGGTGGATATGAAAATCCAACCAATACCAGAGACGACAAAACCAGTAACACCAGTATTTACTGCTGGTCAGTATGGCAAAGAGGATGTTGCCAAATTACTGGGGAATATAAGCATTCCTGAGATAAAACCAGAAACAAGGAAAATAAAGCTAATGGAAATTTCATCTGCCCTTACACCAAAGAAACCGACAAGTAAACAGTTAAAATCTGACAAAGGGAAATCTAAAGTGAAACAAACACTGTCTCTATCTTCCTCTGTCACCGAGGTCAGGGAGTTCAGTGTGCCAGGTGTTGACAATGTGTTTCATATGTCACTAGATCAGTCAGGCAGACTCTGGGTCAGTGATGGTAATGGTAACCTTGTCCAAACAGATCTTCAGGGAGATCAGCTACAGATGATGCAAACCAGAACTGGAGAGGGTTACCACACAACGACACAGGACGGGGATCTAATCTTTACAGACTGTCACAAGAATGTCATCAATAGGATAACACTGGACAACAATATCACCGAATTCATTAAAACAGGAGACTGGTTTCCACTCAGCATACACTCCTCCCACATCAATGGGGACTTACTGGTGGGGATGTGGAAGGATGAAGAGGGTAAAGTCACCCGGTACAACAAGACAGGGAAAGAACTACAGAACATACAGAGGGATAACAAAGGACAGGGACTGTATAGTCATCTACACTACATAACAGAAAACATCAATGGAGATATCTGTACATCAGACAAAACTGAAAAAAAGGCAGTAGTGGTGGTGAATAAATCAGGAAAACACAGATTTTCCTACACAGGTCAGGAGTCAGGGTTCTCTCCCTATGGAATCTGTACTGATGTCCTCGGTCACATCCTGGTGTGTGACAATCAAAGACTTCACATTCTTGATCAGGCTGGCCAGTTCTTGTCTCTACTAATCAGACCAGGATCAGGGATTGATCCCACCTGTGTGTGTGTGGATGATCAGAACAATCTTTATGTGGGAGATTTCAGTACCAATAGCAAAGTCTTAGTTTACAAGTATCTTCAGTGATTTGTATTCTTAAATCTAACAAACATGTACATACTATTATTTAAACTTAAAAAAAAAAACAGAATTAATTTTAAGGATGTTTTCGCTATGACAAAAGAATTGACCTAAAGGTGGTTCAATCTTTTTATCATTTTTTTGTTGAGATCTAAATAATTCGACTTCAACTGCAGCAAAAATGTTATACAAACACATTTATGTTGATCAGAGGGTAAAAAATGCAAAATATGGTGGTCTCCACTCAAATGTCAAGCAAAGTCCACATATTATTTGAATTCATATAAGATGGAGTATGAATTTTTAAAGTACTCCTCAGTAATATAAGAATTTCAGGAAAAAATTATCTGGAAACCATAACGGACAAAATGATTGCATTCAAAAATTTTTATTTTATTCAAAGACTAGATATGGTTAACAATCAGAACATGCAGATTTGTACATTTGTCCTGGCCTGAGTAATACCCTCATTCTATGTAAATGGACTCTAATTAACTGAAAAATGTAGTTATATGTGCATATACTACAACATACAATAATACAAATTTCCCTCTATGGAAATTCAAAAATAAATTGTATTAAATAAACAATACAAAATGTATATAAAATAGATTTCAAACACAATTTTAAAGTTAATGTGACAAAACAAGATGTTGACTTTACTTAAAATGAGATTTTTTGGATTGCGTATTTAAAGAAGTCAGCAGAATTAATAAGACTGCAATGTATTGTATAATACTTCACAAATATTCATGTACTTAATAAAAACAGAGATAGAACTACAATATAATAATAAGAAATTTATATAGCACAAATGACACCAGCCATATTCTGAGAGAAAAATACAAAAAGCTGAATTAAATAATTTAATATTGAGGTATTTTATACTAAAAAGTGCAATACAGCAAATACTTGCAAGAAAAAAAATTGTCTTTGTCATAATTTGTTGTTTACTTAACCCTTACGGAATCTCTAAACAATAATTAAAAAAGCTTTATGGACTTGGAGAAAAATACATATTGGGATTTAGTTAATTTTCAACATAGGGTAAACAAAAACAAGAGGCCCAGGGGCCTTGAATCGCTCTTCAGATAAATTGTACTTTCTATCACTCCTATTAGAAGTCTTCAACTGTATAAGTATCATAAGACCCAAAATTTATTAACTTACGAAGTTTGATAATATTTAGCCAGTTAAGACTGAAGACATAATATAATTATAAAATACCATGAGAAGGTCACAGTGACCTACCTTTTGACTGAAATTGTTTGAGGGCTCAAGATACATTGACAAAGACTGATGATTCTAATTAAATAAGTACCTTAGATATTCAAAAGTAGGTCATCATGACCTACTTTTGGTCAACATTCTCTGAAAACCCAAGATGCATCATTTAAGAAAGTTTGACGATTCTAAGCCAATTAGTACCAGAGATAATTAAATTTAGCCATCAAATGTCAAAAGTAGGTCATGGTGACCTACTTTTTGGTCGACGTTATCCAAAAACCGAAGATGCCTAAACTGACAAAATTTTATGATTCTAAGCCAATAAGTACCTGAAATATTCAAAAGTAGGTCACTGTGACCTACTTTTTGTTGGACATTCAATGAAACCCTTAAATGACTCAACTGACAAGTTTGATAATTCCGAGACAATTAATACCAGATATAATTACATATAGCCATAAAATGTCAAAAGTAGGTCACGGTGACTTACTTTTTGGTCAACGTTCTCCGTAAACCCAAGGTGTTTAAACTGACAAAATTTGATGTTTCTAGCTACATGTACAGTACCGACCAGACCCAACCTGACACCCAAGCAGTCCCAGAAAGCAGTCCCCGGGACTGCTTTGGGACCGCTGTGGGACTGCTCCGGGACCGCTATGGGACTGCTCTGGGACTGCTCTAAAAAGCAGACCCAGCAGTCCCAGCTGTCCCTGGGACTGCTTTCTGGGACTGCTTTGTTCACTCATGTGTGAAAAAAGGTTCTGAGTGACATGATAGCTCCGCCCCCTTGTGTATTCTGAATTTGCAAGCCCCCTGTTGTTTTGTTTACTTGCAGCAGAGATGAGTTTAATCTGTTTAAAAAGCAAGGATTTCTTACAATATTTTAATAAGTAGAGATTATTATAGTTAATTAATATTTACCTAGACTGTATATTTACACAAATGTGGTTTAGAAAAATTTTTTTTAAAAATAAAGTTGTAAAATAAGGAATTTAGGAGAATATTAATTTTTTTTCTCCTAAATATAAGATATAAGATAAGGTTTAGGAGAAAAAATATCAACATGTAGGCCTTTTTATTACGGGGGTATTTAATGTAAAATTAGATACTAAAATTTTGAATTGCTACTATTTAAAAATAATTATTACACTTAAATAAAAGATTTTTAATTGAAAAAGGATTATGTTTTTAACCCTCAAATAGAAAACCTCACAATTTATTAAATGACCATAAAATAAAATTAATAAATTAATGCTACCATTCTTCCGTAACATAAACAATGTGGATAATCACTGGGGAAATTATTTATGAATTACTGGTAGTTTTTAATTTATAAACAAGTTATTAAAAGAGTACATTAATTTTAAAAATAAACAGTTGAAAATACCGGGAATTGTGATTTATTTCTTTTTTGTTTTGCTTCTGTTTACCTGGCCGATTAATGTGTATAAAAATGGTATCAACACTCGCGGTTTTAATCGCCTTTGGGCAGAAAATCAATTCATGTTATTTGTGTATACATATCAGCGTTTCACATCATTGAACATGCTGGTCAACAATGACCCTAATTTCAATCTATGTAAAGCAAAAATAAAATTAAGAAATGAAATATGTATGAATTTCTTTCAGGATTAATTAATTTTGAACATAATCTGAGGGTTCCATTCTGGTGATTTACAGATATACACTCTAACATTTACAAATAATAAAGCACTTAAAACTTAAAGCACAGTATTATAGAGATAGAGAAATTTAAAATAATTAAATTGACATGAAAGTAAAAATAATCATGACTGAAAAATAATACTGGGCAAAATTAACAAAGATTTTTTTTAAAAGCCCCAATACTTAAGAAAATTTATTAGAGTATCCCGATAGTATGGAAATTGGCCATATAACGATAAGATCTATTTAAAGCTTGTTCTGGTGGAAAATAAATAATTCACGTTTAATTTTCTGTAGAAAAATTAATATGGGAAACAGTATCAATCAAAGAAAATAAAGAAATGGAATTATTTATATACCAGATAATTTTGATTAATTTTAATTAATAGATAATAAATTTTAATTTTAATGAATTTTAATTTGGGACTGCTCTGGTGTAATATTCATGTTCAGTTTAATTTTATACATGTAGGTGTGAAAGCCTTCTTCCTTTGATAAATATTATTCCAAATTGGTTCTCTGCGCGTACTGTTAATAAATGACCTTCGCATTCATGTAAGGATTCCTGGCATACTACCCAGAATCAATTTCAACTGCCTTTTATAATCCCTTTGTTTATTGGAAATCTCATTTCTGAGTTAGCTCCGCCCATTACATTAATAAACCCCGCCCTCTGGGACTGCTGGGACTGCTTTCTGGGACTGCTGGGACTGCTCTCTGGGACCGCTGGGACTGCTGGGACCGCTCTGGGACTGCTCTGGGACTGCTCTGGGACCGCTGTGGGACTGCTGTGGGACTGCTGTGGGACTGCTGTGGGACTGCTGTGGGACTGCTTTAGCAGTCCCAGAAAGCAGTCCCTGGGACTGCTCTGGGACTGCTTTGTGTCAGGTTGGGTCTGGTCGGTACTGTAATAATAATTATTATATCTGCTGTGTTGATGACTACTACAAGCATTGTAATTCATTTACACAGGTTATTTTAAAGAAGCATGTTTTTTTAAAACAAAAAATAACTTTTCAAAAAATATGAAATCAAAGTATAATATTAGTCTTAGATAGTTTATATTTCAGTTTTATGATATAAATAATTTTTAAAAAGTTGACTAGCATTATGACATGAATAAACATTCAAACACATCTGAGCTTAAGTTAAAAGTCCATAAATGAGGAGATCCTGACTTCTAAAATCACAGAAGCCATATGTCTGAGAAATGTCAAAATCACATAGCTATTACATGTATATAGTGTTACAGCTAGCTTATAGCGAATGTCTGAACCACAGCTAGCTTATAGCAGTGTCAAAATTACAGCCAATGGCACAGTCCAAATGATGTCACTACCACGAGTCAAAACTGTGCAAATTTAAATTCCAGTAAGTGTCTCCTTCAATGTTACTATTATAAGACTGATGATCCTTGATTGTAATTTCACATTTCCCATTCTATATGAAAACAAGGCAATAAACTGCTGACTGAAATTTAAGTAAAAATACAGCAATATGTCAAATTTTATCCCACATAGAGAAACACTAACTTTTAAGTTCTAATTTGGGTTACATCTTTGAAGTCACTAAAAGACAACAAAATATCAGAATAATATACCTCCCAATTAAAAAAACTCCAGATATTCAGCAATATAAATATTACCATTGGAAATATGCAGAAATAAGCTAAGAATTGAAACAGTAAATCTAATTTAGCAAAGTTTTAACATAGAAAGATGATCTTTTCATAAAAAAAAAACAAAAACAGAAGTCTCTGACAATACTGAAGCTCTACATACAATAAAGAAAGGTATAGACTATTAATGTAAAAAGTCATTTCATAACAACTTAAGGTAAAGGGGGAGTGAATATTTTGGAAAATAAAAAAAATCTGCCTTTGGTGGCCATGACATATGCAATTTGTCAAACTGAGAATTATGCATCTTAATTAGCATAGTCCAGCATAATCTACTAATGTTACCAAGTGTTATTGAGATGGAGTAGTGTTTTGCATAAAAATATACAATAAGTACTGATGCAAAGCAGCAAATTAAAGAACAGCCAGATTGTTATAAGTGAAATGTTCCATCTAAAATGCATATGTAAAACATTTTGTAAAAAATAAAATCTTTAAATTTTCAAATGCTTGGTACTGTATT